AAACTAGATTTCATGCCTTGAGGTGAATACCATTAAGAGGATTTACCCAGGACGTAGCAGTAGGCAAGGTCAATAATGTACCCAAAATATATCAACACTGTGTTGATGCAGGTACATCCAGATGACGAGTCCCAAATAAGGTGAAACGCACAACCTGGATTCCACTACTAATCACCGTTCATCTTTGCTTAAAATGGTAACTGTTATGAAACGACTGTTACTTGTAAAAAATAAAGACCAAAAAACTAATGAGCCATTCTTCGAACTTAGCTCAATCTACAAACTACGTCGACAAAGAACTTCTTGAGCTTTACGAACTAAACAGAGTTGACTTGGTCGACGAAAAACACGAACGACTAAGTCTCTTGAATCCAGCGCAAGCAGCAAAGCCAGTACTGCAAGCATATTTAGGCGTTCAAATCGTGTTATTTTATCCGCAATTTGTTCACATATCAACCCTTCTGAGATCTGCTTCTTCGTTTCGTTTGTTTTGTTGTCCGTCCGGAGCAACAAGTGTATGAAAATTTACGTTATCATATTTGACTTATTTTATTACGTTATCCTTTAGCGGTAATGGAGTTGACAATCATATGTGAGAGTAACTCTGATATCATCAGCCGATAAAAACTGGGATAGGATCAATGAGCGATTAATGACTTATGAGATCTTACACAAAAAGGGCCATTGTATGATTCCATTTGTTCCCAAACTGCCAACTTTGGGGAAAATTTGATCCATTTTGGGGAAGCCTCTATAGTAAATTTTGGGGAAATGAGACGAAAAACCCGAATTTTTCCAGACCTTGGGAAATCCCCTAAATTTCCTTAAAGTTTGAGGAAGCTCCCCCAACATCTGGGGAAATTTTGTGTAAATTTTGGGGAACTTTGGGGAAATCCCCAAAGTGATCTGAAGCTTTTGGGAATACACTGACTACTGAATTTTAGTAAGTAGTATGAAATAATATGCGAAAGAACAAATAAGCAAAGGTTACGTCTGATAAAGCCTGTGAAGCAATGTGAAAGGGAAACGGGCAAGATAAAAGTGAAATCACTGTGGGGAAGCTTCCCCAAACCTTTGCGTTTTCCATGAAAACTGTTTTATCGCAAAAGCTTCGAAAACCTATTGACATCATGGAATACCTAGGGAGAATTCTTACGTACATTTCTTACTGGGATGTTTTATTAATTTTCGTCAATCGCGCAATGCTAATGAAATTTAATGTTAACCGATTTATCGCGATTATCAAAAGACTGATTTATGACATATATAAATGTTTATTACAGTTAATAAAATTACAAATGATTCGTTTATGCAAAGTTTTTCATTGCGTTGTAACATCAACATCTTACGTAGACGTAGAACTGTCATTGATAATGTTATAAAAAATAAATAAATAAATCATTTTTAGTGTATAATAACGTGTCAAGATATGTGAAAGGTTGATGATGTACCAACAGTATAAAAATGTTCTTAATAATGCGAACAAAGAACTTACAGTTACGTCTGATAAAGCCTGCGAAGCCATCTGAAAGGGAAACATACAAGAGACAAGTTATATCACTTTGAGCATTGATCACAAAGTAATAAACTGTTACAGTAATTAAAGTACAGTGATTATAGTGATAAATACAATGATGATTAACATCCTGTGAATTTTGAGGAAATCCCCAAAGTGAATTTCACTTATTAGGAATACAACTGACTACTGAATTTTATTAAGTAGTATTAAACAATATACAAAAGAGTAGGAAGGGGGACGAGTAGGAACAATGTGCGACAAAGTTAACATATGTATTATAACAAACATATTAAGTAGTTTTAGCTCACCCTTTCTTTGGATCGCCATCCACGTTTATGTCCTTTATCTCATGCGTCATGCAAGAAGGCCTGGCTTGTTGTAGCCATGGCATGTATTATATCCTTTTCCTGGCACCTTGCACTTCTGAAACGTGAACTCAAAGCACCTAAAAATATGTTAATAAAGTAAAGTTGACTTACTTTGAACCGTCGAGTAAAATTTGTACTTACTAATACCAAACTTAATTCTGGTTCCGTGCAAGGTGTACGTGTTTGCCAGTTCCGTAGAAAGGAGGTATTTCAGACAGGCTTTTGCTGATTTCCGAAGATCATCACATAGTAGATGGTATAATCTTCGCATCTAAAATTTCTTCAAACACCGGTTACAACTTACGAAATGATCCCGGAATTTTTGGTTCTCTAAGGCTGCTTCTAAAGAACGCAACTCGTTATGCGTTCGTAATGGGCAAGTGATTGCATCACTATCCTTATCTTCCATAAACCTTTCACTTACACCCATGGCTAAGCGTTCACATACAGCGATCAGTCTATCCATCTTGCTACATAGTTCAGTGACCGCTTTCAAGATACCTGTGAACATGTGGTTTATATCATCGCTCAAACTTTTGTTATCAGGAATACAGTAAATGCAGCTTACGGTTTATCACCTTCCGTCGACGTACGTGGAATTGGTGGTGATGAAAAGTCAGCTTTTGATGAACTACTGTATGACAATTGATAAGTGGTTACAAACCTCGCAATGAGAGAAACGTTTCCTGTCAAAATGTTGACAACTGGAATTTCCATCGGGGCAAATCCAGCCTCAAACTCAGCAACCTCTAGTTCTTCAGAGGTTGAACAATTTACCGTTTTGGATTTTTAAGCTTCACAGGGCTGTGTTTCACCGTTTCTACTAAGGTTACTATTATTGTAGCCCAGTGTTGTTGTTAAAAAACACACTTTGATTTGCTGGGCAAACTGTAGTTGTCTAAAAGCAATAAATTTAAATTGATTACAGCTTACCACAACGATGCATAACGGCGCATTTTCTGACGCAGAATCGACTTCCAAAATCGACACCCTCAATAATGTCGTGCTCACTAACATCATCCCGATAAACGTAATGGTCGTTGTTCGGGAGACGTTTGTTAGGAATGCAGACCACTTGCTTGTTCTCGTTATCGTCAACTAAGATATACTTTCCACTTTGATGACGTAAATGGATTCGCAGGCATGAAAAATTGTAAATTTATGCATTGATGAAAATTCACCAACACTTTCTGATAGAGGACGCAAAATCACTAACCAACAGACTTTTACTTGCTAAAGTGCTATATTTGCAACAGTCCTTGAGAAATGATGTCACATCTGCTACTAGACTGTATGCAAAAGAGGAATAATGACCTCACAATGTTGTGTGCGCAAACACATGCACTTACAAAGTATGTCTGTCAGTGTTATCCACGTGCATTCGTGGCTTAAGGTAGAACACTTAAACATACCAATATTACTGGAGGGAAATGGGTCGGTATATAAATCGGAAGGATTATGGAATGACCGGAACCTAATAAGGCCTCCATCACGTATTTCTGTTACGAACCTTGGCCTACCTATGGCAATAACTACATTGTCCGGCCTTGCAGTAGATAGCTTTGAGTTCCTGTTACTGACCATTTGCTTGGAAGGATCATCAGATACCTCAGGCTCAGTGACATTGTCAGCCATATCCTGATTCAGTATACTTTGAAAGTACACTTCTTCGGCATATCGCTGTGCGGCTTGTTTAGCCGCAGCAAATCCACAGTGTACTGAACGCCTAATTTTACTCATGTAAGACTCAAAAGGAAATGCTGCGAACGATTCTAAAGTACCATGTTCCATAACGTCGTCTGCAATGTGCTTTAAACTATGCACATTGTAGATTAAGTGTTCGGTACCGTAACACCTTTCGTAACCTAATAAAAAGTTATTTGTGTAAACCCGAACACTGTTAGCGGATGTGCTATGAAACTTAGGGTGCGATAATAAATACACAGACAAAGAGAGTGACTGGAAGTTTCTGTACATTGATAGTGGTAACCTATTATGAGGAACTACAGGTCCTAATCATAATAAGAACAACCGACATTCAGTTGCTTTTCATACAGAAACTTCATACAGTGAACGACTTTTCCGTTGAAAGTCACATGTAGTGTGCTGTCTACATAAATCTAGTGCATCATTTATTGATGCGATAGTAGATTGACCTAACGGTCAAGTGACAATCGAACCATAAACGTAAGTTCTCAGTTTTATTTCGCATGCTCGACTTAAGTTAACCTTATGTTACTGAGGCGATAAAAATCGTAAAACAAATTAAGCTAGGGAATTTATTTCAGAAATTCTTTAACATGACCGGAAAATATTTTGATAAAAACGGAAATGTAAACGTGCCAACTCAAATCGGTTGGAACATGCTTTTGCATTTATGGACACAAGCAAGAATGTGGCTACACACTCTTATACGCATATCACAAGTTCACAAGTGCGAATGATAAAGCGAGTGGAAAGTCCGAAATAATTCATTCGTCCGAAAGTTGGTATCAATTATATGAGCGTACAAGGACACTAACTGCTGGTAGACGGAATAAGACACAGTCATAAAATTGGTGGCTGACCCCGGAATCAGGCGGGAGAATATTGGTTTTTTCAATGACTTAATTATTTAGAAGAGCAACACTGACTTTTCATGGGTTGGGGTTTATATTTTCGTCGAACTATCAAAGTCATTTTGGTTGCTACTCCATTATCATGCATCTAAATCACAAACTAAAAAAACATGTGATCATTCTTACTGTGAAGATGCCACAAGTACTTGTAGTTCGACAACATTCCAACCAGTAATACCTTCTATAGTTGAATCATGCCCACCAAGTGAAATAAAAGGTCTAAAGCGAGGAGGTTCGAAGACATATATGACAAGTTATCAATATCAGCGACCACCGTTATTTAGATCAGACGATATATATTTCAATTATTTTCCACGTAATTATATTTAATGATTGTCTGTAACCACAATCTACTCGATAACCAGTATTTTTATGACTTGAGACGCCGAAGAAAAATATAGAAATTATTTTAGTTGGGATAATTTTCCTTCACATTCCAAGCAAAAACAATATTATCATGTTCGGAAAAAATGTTCAGTATTATTTAACCATCGTTTTGTTTTAATGACTCAAGTTATAAATACTGCTGCTTGTACCATCAGCAAAGTCACGTACGATATTCCCAAAGATGTCGAAAGCGAAGGTTGGTATCAACGGTTTTGGTCGTATCGGGAGACTTGTGCTGCGCGCAGCTTTCCTCAAGAACACCGTGGATATAGTTTCAGTGAATGACCCCTTCATAAATTTAGAGTACATGGTTTACATGATTAAACGTGATTCCACTCATGGCAATTTTCAAGGCGAGGTGTCGGCCGAAAACGGAAAATTAAAAGTCAATGGAAAGTTAATATCTGTTCATTCCGAAAGGGATCCAAGAAATATCCCGTGGGATAAGGACGGAGCTGAATATGTCGTAGAGTCCACTGGGGTCTTTACGACCATTGATGCAGCTAAAGTAATATCATTTCTTGTATTATCTAGTGTTCACTTAGGCTCATACTGAAAATAATCGAGCTAAAAAGGTTATAATATCTGCACCTTCTGCAGACGCACCTATGTTCGTTGTTGGTGTGAATGAAAATTCGTACGATAAGTCAATGTCTGTGGTTTCTAATGCATCATGTACAACCAATTGTTTAGCACCCCTGGCTAAGGTCATTCATGATAACTTCGAAATAGTTGAGGGCTTAATGACCACTGTGCACTCATTTACGGCTACGCAAAAGGTTGTAGACGGACCATCTTCAAAATTATGGAGAGATGGTCGTGGAGCAATGCAAAATATCATTCCAGCTTCTACTGGTGCTGCCAAAGCTGTGGGAAAAGTCATTCCGGCATTAAATGGAAAATTGACGGGAATGGCTTTCCGCGTACCAACACCGGACGTTTCAGTCGTTGATCTCACATGTAGATTAGGGAAGAAAGCTACCTATGATCAAATTAAGGCTGTGGTCAAAGCAGCTGCATCTGGGCCAATGAAGGGGATTTTGGAATACACTGATGATGAGGTCGTCAGTTCGGACTTTGTTGGAAGTTGCAGTTCATCCATATTTGATGCGAAGGCTGGGATATCTCTTAACGACAACTTTGTGAAATTGATTTCATGGTATGTCTTCATATTTTATTCCCTAACTTATTTCATGTAGGTACGATAATGAGTTTGGATACAGTTGCCGCGTAGTTGATCTCATCACGCACATGCATAAAGTCGACTATGCATAGTGAAATAGTTTCAACTGTAGCCGAATAACTTTTTGTCAATCGATAGATAACGAATAAAGCGTTCATCTGCTTATTTACTTTTCAGTTCTCTCTATCATATATCAATCAAATATTGTTTGGTTTCTTCTGTTATTTTGCTTACCAGCCATTGTGAAGTAACAAGTGTTGATTATCGAACTTCGTCCAAGAGGGCTTACGTGGTCCCAAAGTATGTTTCCATCAAATTGTCACTCGTCCTGCCCTTGGGACGTGTGGTGGTGGTCCACCTAACTAATTTTCAGCAGTCGCTAAAGTTTGATAACAGTTTACAGGACATATTTGGGACTTCAGCACTTAGTTATTAGTTTGTAGTTCGCCATACGTTTAATTGTTGTGGACCTTTGTGTCCATCTTAGACTTGCTGATTAGATAATAACATTAAAAAAGGTAATACGATCCCAGTTTTCATGCCTTAGTCTTTCAGATACATGAGACCCTCAATAATTGCTGAGTACCATCAAATAAGGTTCCGTTTTTATAGATGTCGTCATCACAGTGACCATTTTTGAATAGACGGGACGTTTACCTCTTCTGAGCATTTCTAGCAATTGTTTGGTTCCACTCGTCAAAAGTAGTCTCTGCTGACCTGGCTTTTCAGTCAGTCAGCTACAATGTAGGACTAGGCACATATATGCATCGGTCCAAGTTGCCATACTTCATTAACACAGCACGGTGAACACCAGATTCATAAAAGTAGTTAATTCAGTGGTGGTAATATATAAAAGAAAGATGACATATAAGGATATAGTACAGGGAGAAAGAATTATTTCTTACAAAGAAATATATGGAGCGATCTTAATTTCTTAGCTTAAGGGAAGAAAAAGAGAATACACCGACGTCATTGTGGTCGATTATGAGCCATGTCACCAAGAGTCTTCGACCATTTGCTACGATAGTCACGCGGACCCCAACCAAGCAGTCTGCATCTACCAACATGGCTCAGACTAGAAGTTAGTGACTTCAAGCACTGATGCAATGTTTTGGTTTGGTCGCCCCTAACTTTCTTCCAACCATCTCCAACACCGGTTCGCGAAGCGCATCGTGGTAATCGGTGTTCAGGCATGCGTAACACGCGGCCCAACCATCAGTCGATGAAGATTAACAATCTCATCAACTGATTTACCATCATTACCTAATACCCTACCTTTTACCTCACTATTAATTACCCGGTGATCGCAGCAGATGCGAGCAATATTTCTAAGGCATCTGTGGTCAGATACTAGTAGCTTACGAGTGTCTTCTACTCTTAATGGCCATGTTTCGTAGCCGTAAAGTAAGACAGAACGGACTACCGCGCAGTATACTCGTCCTTTTATTGATAGACGGATATCTCGCCTTCGCCATAAGTGACGTAAGTTGGCAAAAGCCAGACGAGCTTTTCGAATCCGTGCAGAGATTTCGTCAGACACCAACCCATTAGGGCTGATCAGACTTCTAAGATAAGTGAAGTTGTCAATGCGTTTGACTACTTCACTCCCTATCCTTAGTTTAGGTGTTGACACAGATCAGTCCTGAAGCAACAACTTGCATTTAGAGGGAGAGAAGGGCATTCCAAACATTCTGGGATTGTTGCTTAGTGCTACTCTGCATTTTATCATTGTCTTCACCAAACGTGACTATGTCATCTGCATATTGTAAGTCGGTAAGTGGACTTTATGTAAGGAAACCGATGCTTGAGAATTCGGTGGACGAGATTTTTATCCCCATCAGTATGTCTATGATGAAGTTATACAAAAATGGAGAAAGTGGACAACCTTGCCGGGCACCACTTTAGGTTGAAAAAGCAGATGGCAGTTCGCCATAAGCTTTTAGTAGATTTGATGGTAGTCGTCCTGATTCCACCAATGGTTTGTTACTTAACAGTAGTTTTATCGGGTTTACGCCAATCTAACTGAAGTAAGCTGAGATATCATTTACTCCGCCATGCTTAGCAGGTTACTGTATCATATCACAAATCGGAAGTAATGTAATTTTCTGAAGGCAGGACTCTCGTGTTCTGTCGCGTTCAACTACCTGCCGTTCGATGCATCGCATATCACAGGGGTTATTCCCGGTAAAATAGGCTACAGACGAAGTTGGACAGTTCATCAGGTAAGGCTGTAGTCCTGTTAAACGGGTCTAGGCGGGTCTGTTTACGACGTCGACCCTCTGTTGCGTTACGGGTACACAAGTTTCTCACAGGTATACAACATTGCGGGTAAGACTCATAAATCTATTCGGTATTGTTCCCTGCAGATATTCTTAGTGCATGATCTTTCGAAGTTGGGTGTGTAGTAACTCATGGGTTAGTGTTTCTAATTTAGATGCTCGGCAAAAACAGTTGAACCAGCATCGGAATGTTAAATATTTCGTCATTGGTAAGAACTTCACTGTTTGCCGAAGATTGGAGGAACAGATGTTATTAGATTTAATAAAATGAATTTCACACAATCAAACACAAAACTATGTCTTTGCTTACCAAGCGTCACTATCGTGTTACATTTTTGCCCAAACTCATGAGGAAAACTAGATTTAGCGCCTACCAGCTGTTTATCTTTTTGATGTTATTACGATTACCACTTAACCTCCCACAATGGCTTTCAAAGACGATGCTTACCATAAGAGTGGGGTTCAAACAGTCTGAAAACAAGGGACTAGTAGTTAGATGTTTTGTTCAAATTTCTCACATAACTAGTCAGCTTTTACTTATACTTGTGATGCCTGAGTGTGATCGGTTTAATCCCGTGTGATGAAATGCTCTCAAACTACTGGGGTTTTAAGCGGGTGCGGAAGACACGTTTGGTGCTCCATGAAATCGAATGGTTTCCTTAGTGTTAGTTCATGATAAGAAATTAGCTACCAATTAAATAAGATGTTCACCTGGTACTGTACTATAATTTAATGGCTGAAATTATGTGTTTACGAAAAAACATGGAAAAACTTTCGTCTAGAAACCTACTTAGCGCGGTTTATTAACCTTGGTGATGAGCCTACTGGTAACATTTCGACTTTAATTTAAATATCATGGGCTCTCTGCACGGCATACTGGATTACTAAGTTTCGTTAATGATAACCACTTTCCACACTGGTATTTCGGTCAGTACGGGAAGTATTTTATAACAATGATTACGAGGTAACTATTAAATTCAATACCTTAAATCTATATGATGAAACTGATTAGCGTAACAATAAAGAGATTCGCCGAGTGTATTTTTTTCCTGGAAGTTGATCACAAGTGGAGTCATGGGCATTCGTCCAGTTTTATTTTATACGGGCCACTGAACCAAACTACGTTAATAACCTCACTCTTGAATATAAATAATAAGAAAGTACAACCCTGTAGTTAATAGCTTATATTTATCTCATTCAGTGTTTAGATAATTATAGATCTATTCAGTAACATCGCTACATGAATGGTATTAATTCCAAAGGCTAAACAACCAATATTAGTAATTACTGGAAAAATTTTTACTATACGTAAGTTTAATAGATGCTAATATTTATTGGGGTCGGAATCAAACATTGTTATTGGAATTAATTACAAGATCTAAATAATGAGCTCACTAATGGACACGTACAGTATCAAAATGTGCACGACTTCTATCATACTTAGTGTTGAATGTATGACCAGTTTGGCTTATGCCCTGGGAGGAGTAACGGGCCTGTATCAGTAATATGATCAAGAGTTTTGAATTAGGAATTTTGCATGATAATTTCAGGAAGATCACATCCTTTGGAATATCTATGTAGATAATTCGACCGTTAATACCAATAAGTATAACCAATAAATTTGCATGTAACGTAATGGAATTTCTATCGAGGATGTTTAATGCTACAAAATTAGTAAACTTATGAATGTCAACCGGTTATACGCAAATTACAACAGCACAAGATATCAGCGTATGTAGTAATATTATTAGTGCTGTGAGAGATTGAGCATAAACCATATGATTTGAGTAAATATGAATTTGTAGAATATTAATGTTTTTTTTAAGATAATTAGGAAACTTCTGATCTAAAGGAAGATAAAGTGTGAATGCGCGTGGTCCATCGTGAGTGATTTCGAGACACGTCATCTGAAGCTCCTAACTATTGGTTACTGTGGGTAAATGTAAAATGTCTTTGACCAATAGACAGATGACCATAAACGTAAATACTCATTCAAGATGAATGTAATAATCTCTGGAATGCGGTGTTTCTCGCCAGAATATATATTAGTGTAGAGCCTTGGTAAAAAACTAATTGGTTTTGTAAGGTTTCAGATGGGCTCGTTGAAAAATTCAAGACAAATCTAATTGTACGACGGTCAAGTTCATATCTTATTCTCATATTAATGATTTAATATTTAGGACAATTAGTTGATCTAATGATGAACTTATGATGTATGATATGATAAATCTGTTTATTATTAAGAATTCCATCTATTAATCAAATTTATCCAAAAAATAATCGTTTGAAAACTAACAAACTTATAAATTTCCGGAGAGATTCTAGTGTTACAGTCATTTACACTTTCATTGTAGAGACTCAACTTTCTATATTACATTTTATTCTAAATTATCCGATAATTATGGAGTCCAAAAAGAAAGAAAAAAGGTATGGACTATCATGTAAATGCTCCTCTCATCATGAAATTCTCGCTCTTACAGATAAATACCACATTTTATATGATTGGCGTTAGCCTAAACCAAAAAGATCGAATAAAAGAATAGGCTAGTGGACTAACAATTATCCAGTGCTTTTCCTCGAATTCTATCGTTTATTAAGTGAATACTAATTTTTGTAAAAAATCTCTAGGAAAATGAGCTAAAATGTAAGAGAGATACAATTCGATGTGTTTCATGGGCAGAAATATTTTTCTATAAAGAGTTTTTTTGTCAGTTCGCAATCCCATATTAAGTAATGATCGTACAATCCAGTCAGTCCCATACCTCTTACAACTTTATTGTTTGCCATAGATTTACATCCTAGTTTTTCTGTTAAATTTCTGCCATTAAATAGTTCTGGAGTTCTCTTGGAATAATAAATTAAACATCTGAAGTAAGTAAACATCCTATTGATCGTATTTAAAAATATAACATAAATTTCTCTTTTTT